ACAAACTTTGAATCTGATATCAGAATTGCAAAATTCAAAATGGCGGCCCAAATATGGCCGACATGTGCATTAGATTTTCATGAAACTTCGTACTTTATGGTTATTTTGTCTGCAAATTACGAATCTAGTATCATAATGGCAAAATTCAAAATGGCGGATCCAATATGGCCGACATATGCATTAGATTTTCATGAAACTTGGTACTTTATGGTTATTTTGTCTGCAAATTACGAATCTAGTATCATAATGGCAAAATTCAAAATGGCGGATCCAATATGGTCGCCGTGCATATTAAAAATATTAAATTATTATGAATTTTTTATGACATAGGTTTTCTAGGTTTATAGGGCAACATAGTTGAAATACATTGACAGAAATAACAATAACAAATTAATGTTAAATTAAAATTAAGGATAATCTGCGACGCCGCGACGTCGCGATTAGGCATCGGTGGTCGCGTAAGGCAAGTGCACCGATTCCACGCGACGCGTTCGAAGTCGTGATCCGTGCATTCCTCCGCCATTTCTCACTGGACTGTACGCTTGCACGAGGAGGAGTACGAGGAGCGGAGGGACGGGGGGGAGGGAGGGCGACGGTAACCTTGGTTAGAGCATAGACGAGAATAGGGGTAACATAAGGCGTGGGGATAGGTGAGACCAACGTGTTGCCGAGCCGAAAAGGATGGAACGCATTTATGCAACACTCTCGTTTCCTTTTTTTTTTTTTTCTTTTTCTGTACGGGTGAACAGTAACCCCGAAGCGGGATCTGAACGAGTTCGCGTCGAAAAGCTTGCTGAAATTATTTCTCGGTCCCGGAATTTCTTAAACGTCGATCTTTATTCCAACTTTCTTCAAAAACGAATGTTCTGCGTTCGCGATGTAGTCTTTAAGAAGAATCTACGGTTAAACGAAAAGATAATCGATTCTCTTTTTTATCGCATAATTAAATGCTGTAGGTTCCTGAAAAGCGTGGTCTTAAAAGCATATATCGCGTAATTTTACGCTTCTGAAACTTTTTCTACGAATTCTCGTAATCCACCGCGAAGGAAAATAACTGAAAACTACAACCGAACGAGATAAATATTTATTTGCTCTCGATATTTGCTCGGCTAGATATCAGCGATACCCACGTTCGGCTTCTTTTCCAATTGAGGAACAGTCCGTTATCGTTTCGATTCTCTTGGAAGGTAAAGAGTAACTTCCAACCTCGAACCCTATAAAAAGCTTTTGCTAATAAGGGGTAGAACGAACTAGAATACAGCTTATATAAGAATTACTCCTGAGATGGTCATTTGAAGGTCAACATATTATACATGCTTTAATTTATCATTTTAACAGCTATAATACTACCAAACCCAACCTAATTTGAAATTCTCCGCATCTATACCAACCTAATCTAGAATTCTCAGCATCTAACCTAACCTAATCCTGACGTTACATCGTTACTCTTATTAAGAGTTCTCTGTCTGACACTGTAAGCGTATTTTGACACAGGACACAAAGTATGCGTCTGTATTATAACGAGTCTCCTACTTTCAAAGGAAGGGCGAGAGGGGGTCCAAGAAATCTTCTCGTGCCCTTACATGGGAGTGGGGAGGCTCAAAAATGGCGAGGCAAGCCTGGTTCCTTCCTGCTGAACTTGTCAAAATAAATAACGGGGTATGCATTGGATCCGCCATTTTGAATTTTGCAATTCTGATACTAGATTCGTAATTTACAGCCCAAATAACCACAAAGTACCAAGTTTCATGAAAATCTAACGTACATGTCGGCCATATTTGAGCCGCCATTTTGAATTTTGCAATTCTGAGATCAGATTCAAAGTTTGTGGCTCAAATAAGCCATAAATACCAAGTTTCATGAAAATCTAATAACTTTTTAATATACACGTCAGCCATATTGGATCCGCCATTTTGAATTTCGCAATTCTGATACCAGATACGTAATTTGCGGACCAAATAACAATAAAATACCAAGTTTCATGAAAATATAATGTACATGTCGGCCATATTTGAGCCGCCATTTTGAATTTTGCAATTCTGATGTGGGATTCAAAGTTTGTGCCTCAAATAAGCCATAAATACCAAGTTTCATGAAAATCTAATAACTTTTCAATTATATATGGCGGCCATATTGGATCCGTCATTTGGAATTTTGGAATTCCGATACAAGATTGATAGTTTGCGACTTGAATTTTGGAATTCCGATATAAAATTGAAAGTTTTCGGATTGGAATTTTGGTATTTCGATATAAGATTGAAAGTTTGTGGCTCAAATAAGTCATAAATACCAAGTTTCATGAAAATCTAATAGCTTTGTAATATACACGTCAGCCATATTAGATCCGCCATTTTGAATTTTGCAATTCTGATACCAGATTCGTAATTTGCGGCCCAAATAACAATAAAATACTAAGTTTCATAAAAATCTAATAACTTTGTAATATACACTTCAGCCATATTGAATTTTGCAATTCTAATACCAGATTCGTAATTTGCGGCCCAAATAACAATAAAATACCAAGTTTCATGAAAATCTAATGCATATGTCGGCCATAATTGCGGCGCCATTTTTAATTTTGCAATTCTGATATCAGACTCAAAATTTGCGACTCCAATAAGTTATAAATACCAGGTTTCATGAAAATTTAATAACTTTACAATTATATATGTCGGCCATATTGGATCCGTCATTTGTAATTTTAGAATTCCGATATAAGATTGAAAGTTTGCGACTTGGAATTTTGGAATTCCGATATAAGATTGAAAGTTTTCCGCTTGGAATTTTGGAATTCCGATATAAGATTGAAAGTTTTCCGCTTGGAATTTTGGAATTCCGATATAAGATTGAAAGTTTGCGGCTTGGAATTTTGGAATTCCGATATAAGATTAAAAGTTTGCGGCACGAATAATTCATGAATACCAAGTTTCATGAAAACGTAACAACTTCTTAATATACACGTCGGCCATATTGGATCCGCCACTTAGAATCTTGCAATTCTGCTACCATATTCGTAATTTGCCTACTAAAATAACCCTAAAACTCCAACTTTCCCGAAGATCCGAAACCTCCTTCGAATTTCGTCCAGGTTTTCGTCCATCCGTACCGCTGGTGCGTCGGTCCGCGTCGCCGCCGAAACATTCTGCGCGTCGACGGCTCGTTCGCGATAGGGGCAGTGGCTCTCCGGTGGCGCCACCGTCGAGGCCGGCGGCGAACGCCGGAATCACTCAGCCGCGTACAAGTCGCGTCAGGCGCCGCAGTCGCGCGCTTGCACTCTCAGCGGTGAGTGGAGTTTGTAAATCGTGTGTAAATATCTCCGTGGAAAACGTCTCCTTTCGCTCCTGTTTCGATCAAAACGGGAGCCTCTTCCCGTCGCCGACATACGCGTCCGTTATCTCAGCGGATTCATCGATCGCTTCGAACAACAGACAGTGCTCCGTCGTTAAAACCAAACGAAAATAATAAAAAGGAAATAAAAATAAAGTAAGCACGGACGGGTGCCGCGAAACCTCGGACCGTCGTTCCCCTTTCACCGACACGGCGCGTCCGTATCGTCGACGGAGTGAGACCGTGCGAGAGTGACAGGGATAGAGACAAGTGGTTCAGCGGGATACGTGGGGCGGGCGGGGGGGGTGGTGGTGGTGGTGGTGGTGTGCGGGGTGGTGCGACGAGAGGGAATCGACGAAAACGACGCAAACGACGCGGACGACGTCGGCTCGCCGTGGTTTCGCGAGGCGAGCCCGGCCCAACCGGTGATATTGTGTTTCACCATTGCGATTGTGCGCCGTGGAAATCCACATAGATTCGATTATTATTGGGGAGCAGTGACGTGTGATACACGTGTTTGTAACCTTGTGCAAAGTGTTTTTAACCGGAGCGTACCAAGGGACCGTGTCAGTGGCGGACCATCCCGGGATTTCACGGTGTTCGACTCGTCGTTATGTGAGTACACCTTTTTTTTCTCTTTACTCTACGAATTCGTCGTGGCGAAGGATCGTTTTCAGCTTCGTTCCGGTTATGTAATTCGTGTTCGCGAGGTGCCAAGTAAACAGTTCCAGGTGTGTCGATTTCCAGAAGTCGACCGACATTTCTTAGCGAGATTTGCGAATCTAGGATTTTCGTGCTTTCGCGCGAGATTCGAACCTTGCTTTCATATTTTTCTGGGGGGGAAATTGTTTGCTGGGAAAATTCCCTATGTGGTCCAGTGATTTATTAGCAGAATGCTTGCACAAACTCCAGTCATTCTACCTTAAAATATAACATAATTCAATGTATACATACAATACATATATATATGTATATAATTATATATGTATATATATATTGAATTATGTTATATTTTAAGGTAGAATGACTATATATATATATATGAATATAGTCATGATATATATATATATATATGAATATAGTCATGATATATATATATATATATATATATATATATATATGAATATATTATATATGAATATATGAGTATAGTCATTATATATATATTTATGAATATATGAGTATAGTCATTATATATTTATTTATGAATATATTATATATGAATATATGAGTATAGTCATTATATATATATTTATGAATATATTATATATGAATATATTATATTCATATATTTATGTATAGTCAAGAATATATATATGTATATTGAATTATGTTATATTTTAAGGTAGAATGACTATATATATATATTCATTCTACTTTATACCAATATATATATATATATATATTTTGTATTCAACAAACAAAGTGCTGTGCGTTTCTCCCGAACTAACCATAAAATTGTCAGTGACTTGGGAGAATTTATTCGAGTGAATAATTGCACGAGCTCGAATTATTCGTACGGTAAAATGACGAATAAAACCGAGACACGGTGATCCGTCATTGTTTAGAGGTTAAAAGATCCATCCCGACTCGCCTTTTGTTTTTCTCCGACGCGGTAATTGTAACCGTAACCGTTCGTTCGTTCCACGAATAATCTAACGAATAATACGTGTAACGAACGTCGGTGCATCTTTCGTGCGCGGTTGAGAAATTTTTATCCGGATAAGAATGTTCGCACTATCTGTTGCGTGCACGGGCCGATCGGTTTATGGGACACAGTTTTGTTTACATCTGTGCGGCGGGGCAAAGTGTGAGGTAGGTTCGTGAACGAATGTGCGCGCCGAGGTCCGATCGAGGTCGGGACGAGCTCGACCATTGGAGCATCGGTTACCATTTTCTGACGAAATTGCCTCCGTGAATAACGCAATTTGAAAATCAACAAATTTCATATTTATCGAACCGTTTCCTTCGACTCTCTTTCCTGCTTGAGAATTTCTTTATTTTCATATTGTTTATAATTATCGTTGTTGCAAAATTCCTATTTTTTTTTTCTTGGTTCATTAATTAATTCCTATCTCGATTAATTCGATATTGGTACAACTTTCCAGCATTCCTGATAATCTCGTTTGCAACTATACAGGATGTCCCAAAAATGTTGGATGTCCTTGAATGGGGTGTTTCGGGGGAGGGGGGGGGGGGGTGATTTGAAACAATTTTTTGGTTAAACTCGACTTCTACATTTTTCTGATCTAGTCGTCGAAATCTACTGAATGGTATACAAAAAAAAAAGTCAATAATTACAAAGACAGTATAATTTCGTTGCAACGCGGCTCGGAGGCCTTTGTGAATTTTTTCTGGTCGAAAGTGCATTGCAATCCTTCGGTCGTATTATTAATTAGTTAGTTTTCTAGTCATACTTTTCATTTTTTATTTGTGTAGCTATATTCCTCATTATTTATCTTTTGAATTGTATTTTAAATGAATTATTTTTATATCCATATTTTTCATTACTTATTTTCTTGCCAAATTTTTAACCATTTATTTTTATATTTTCATTTTTCATTATTTATTTTCTTGCCAAATTTTTAACCATTTATTTTTATATTTTCATCTTTCATTATTTAGTTTTTGAACCATCTTCTTAATTATGTGTTTGTAAAGCCATATTCTTCATTATTTATTTTTATAGCCATATTTTTCATTATTTATTTTCATGCCAAATTTTTAACCATTTATTTTTATATTTTCATTTTTCATTATTTAGTTTTTGAACCATCTTCTTAATTATCTGTTTGTAAAGCCATATTCTTCATTATTTATTTTTATAGCCATATTTTTCATCAGTTATCTTTTGAATTATATTTTTAACGAATTATTTTTATATCCATATTTTTCATTATTTATTTTCTTGCCAAATTTTTAACCATTTATTTTTATATTTTCATTTTTCATTATTTAGTTTTTGAACCATCTTCTTAATTATCTATTTGTAAAGCCATATTCTTCATTATTTATTTTTATAGCCATATTTTTCATCAGTTATCTTTTGAATTATATTTTTAACGAATTATTTTTATATCCATATTTTTCATTATTTATTTTCTTGCCAAATCTTTAACCATTTATTTTTATATTTTCATTTTACATTATTTAATTTTTGAACAACATTTTTAATTATCTATTTGTAAAGCCATACTTTTCATTTTTTATTTTTATAGCCATATTTTTCATCATTCATCTTTTGAATTATATTTCTAACGAATTATTTCCATAGCCATTATCTTAGATTGCATATTTTTCTAATCATATTTTTGATTAATCATCTTCCTAGCCATATTTTGTATTTGTTTTATTTTTACAAACATTTTTAATTATTCTTAGCCATGTAAATTACCAAAAATCTAATAAACATGAACTGTACTCGCAAAGTCCACCGAATGTGATTGAAAATTTCTTTCTTTTTAATATTCTAGCTATTTTTTTTTTACAATTCCATCAGAGACACGAACACACCGTTGTAACTAATTCATGAGAAACGCATTTCGCAAAAATACTATCTTCATGAATATGCAATCGCAAGTTATAATACCTAATAGAGAAATGAGAAAACGCGTAAATACAAATTCTGCTTATCAGCGTCTATTATTCACGCGATTATTCAGCAATAATATTTTTGCAACGATTAACGTTAATCTTTATTTTTACAAGAATATTATCGAATATACATATGTATATATGTATGTATATGTATGTATATACATGTATAGAAGTGCTTGGTGATGATCACATGTCTTTCAGACAGAAACCTTCCCGTTTCTCGTGCAATATTCCACCGTTACGCAATTTCCTTTTCAATTAATAAAATACAATCTTTAAATATCATCAGTGAAAATGAAAAATCAGAAAACGAAAGTTTTGGCAAAATTCTTGTCTCCCAATAAATTCCGAATAACTAAAACCGAACAATCTTTCGTGATTCTCTTAATAACCAATTAAAAATTACAATAAAAAATTACAATAAAAAATTACAGAGCAACGTCCTATCGAAAAAGTGAATACATAATTGTCGACTTGCATAATTGATTACATAATATTAATCTAAATTATTAAATTTATATCGATAAGCTCGTTATGTAAACGTTCGTATTCGTCGTTCCAAACGGATGTTATTCGCATAAAAAAACTGACAGTATGTCACGAAACATGAACTCGAGTCACCCAGGCGCTGCTTCTTTTTTCGCCGTGGTCAGTGCCTTCGTGTTTACATTGGGATTAAAGCGTACAAACGAGACGAGATTCGAGGCCGAGCCACGGATTTTCTCCTTCTCCTTTTCTTTTTTTTTCTTTTATCCGATTCGTAACCGATCTCTGACTCCCTCGAAATCGAGGGAGACAACCGGCAGAAAAACAACAGTAGCTCTTCAGAGGGGACTACGTGACGACTCGTCGCCTTGGATGTGTCCCTCACGAGTCCGTTCTTATTACAAATTCAAATTTAACGACTGGCCGCCGCCGCCGCTTGGAAATTCAAATCCGTAGATATCGCCGCTGATTGAAATCCGACCAAGATCGGGATTGGAAACGGTAGTTTTACGTCTGCACGCATGAATTTCTGTTGAACCGAGCTCGACTTCTTTTTTAAGGAGTGTAGTGCCTAGAAAGTTGCTTGAATAGATTCTAGAGGGCCCTGGATAGATCATAGAGGGCGCTGTTGGTTTCAGAGGCCGCTTAATAGACTCCAGAGGGCGCTTGATGGATTCAAAATGGCGCTTAATGGATTCAAGATGGCGCTTAATGGATTCAAGATGGCGCTAATGGTCTCAGAAACAGTAGAGGGCGTTGGGACTCCTCTTTATTAAAACTCTAGAGCTTAGTTTCCCAATGTGGGGCATTAAATAGACCCTAGAGGGCCCTG